CAAGGAAAAACTTGGAGAAAACAACATTTTATTTCATTTTTTTAAATTTTAATTCATCTACCCAAAGACCAAGAATGCCATTACCGACAAAGAAGCTACTTAATTGTGGTTATAACCCTCTCTGAACTCTATGACTCTGAGACACAAACCTTGACAAAAAAGGCTGCTGCTCAGAAAAACATGTTGATTGTGGTATTACTAAAGTTGTGTTGGAGACATGTCACCCAATATTTAAAATCTGTTATTCACGGAACTTGTAAAGAACTACTATGTGTCTTAGGAAAATTTGAAGAATGATAAAAAAGTGATTACTGAAACAGCTGGATGATGTAATTATATAAATTATCTATTTCATATACTTTGGGTCTTTCACTATTTTGGAGAATCTGAAGTATTTTCTAAACTGATTACTGAAACAGCTGGATGATGTAATTATATAAATTATCTATTTCATATACTTTGGGTCTTTCACTATTTTGGAGAATCTGAAGTATTTTCTAAAGTCAAGTTTCAGAAAACTCGAAAATAAAATAATACAAGATAAAGTTCCCAAGCAATACTAACTCTTTTAGCATTTATTCCTCTAACAGAGAGAAAAAAATCACTATTCAACATTTGTAGATTTATATTTTACAGATAGGCAATTAATTGGTTTGTTGATCAAATGAACCTGTCATTTCAAAAAAGACACAAATCCAAAACTTTTAACAGTTTGCACCACCATTGCATAAATAGATATTGATATATAGAATATATTCGAGGTTAAGTATTTTTATGTAATAATACAAAGTATTACAAAAACTTAAGCATTACATATTACAAAATTTTAAGTCCTGCTAATCAGTTGTTTTTATTCATCTAAATAAAATATAATTATATATAGCTCTATTATTCAGTAATATTGAGCACTGTAACATGTACAAGAGACTTCGTATTATTACATCAAAATACTTAACCTCAAATATATTCTATATATTGATATCTGAACAAATATTTGATTCATAAAATTGAGCACTTAAGTCTTCAATGCGATGGATAAAACAAACTTTGATTGTTCAATAAAAAATATTTCAATACCATCAGAAAGAGACTTTAAATTAAAATTAATAAACAAAACAGAACTACTCTTAAAGAAAATGAGATAAAAAGCGTTCCTTTTTATTAATAACGATCCAAGAATTAAAGACAATATCAATTATACAAACTTTGGAATTAGATCTCGTTTGTCCACCACAAATAAAAGAAATTACATTCTTCAAAAAAGATGTAATTAATCTTACTAAATCAATAAAGTTTCAAGACATACGCAACGCTTTTTAAAATGGTATGAAAAAGATATTAAATATCACAAAACCTTAACACAAGCTGACAAAACATCAAATATGTATAAATTGTCCAAGGAAGATTACAATAATGCTATTACCACTACCTACAAATCCAAAATTAAAAGACTATATAAATAAAGAAGGAAAACAAATTTTAACCAACCTCGAGGTATATAAAAAAATTTAAATAAACGAATCCTCTAACTGTTTTTTCACTTTGAAAGAAAACCACAAAGAAAACTTCGTTAACAATCGATTTGTACGCCTTTTGAACCCTTCAAAAAATGAAGTACGACGAATTACTAAAGTAATTTTAACAAAAATTAATTGTGAATTTAAAAATAAACTTTTTTTGAATCAATGGAAAAGTACTCAATATGTTGTCAACTGGTTTAAAAAAATCACCAATAAACACTTATACAAACTCCTAGTTTTTGATGTTAACAATTTTTACCCTTCCATAAATGAAAACACCCTCAAAAATGCTATGAATTTTGCTGATCATCATATTGTTATCAAAAGCGAAGACAAAGCATTGATAAAGCATGCAAGAAAATCTCTTATCTTCAACAATGATGAAGCATATATTAAAAAAGAGGTGAATTATTCAAGTAACAATAAGGGCATTTGATGGTGATAAAGTTTGCAAATTAACAGGTATTTTCATACGGTATCAAATTTTACATTAAAATAAAGAAGATTTTGCCCTATATTTTGACGACGGTCTTGACGTATGCAAGAACAAAAACGATCAGCCATGGATAAAAACAAAAAGCATATAACAATCATTTTAAAAAAAAACGATCTTTAAGTCACCATTCAACCTAATTTAAAAACCACCTCGATGTAACATTAAATCTAAGGAACAATACATTTCAACCATATTTTAAACCTGATAATTAAATAAGGTACATCCACTCTAATTCTAGCAACCCTCCAAGCATAATAAAAGCAATTCCTTGCAATATTGAACAAAATAAATCTTCCATGTCAATTAATAAAATATTCTTTAAAAAAAAGGTTATTCCAACGTCGGAAAAGGCTTTAAAAAAATCGGCATACAAATCAAAACTTACCTACCAAACACAATTAATCTTATATCAAAATCAACAAAAAAAGCATTGTAAACATAATATTATTTGATATAACCCTCCATTCAGTTTAAACGTCAAAACAAAAATAGAAAATCGTTTTCTAGCCCTTATTGACTTATATTTTCCAGCCAGCCCCTAGCTACATAAAATATTCAACAGAAATTCTATTAAGATCAGCTGTAGTTGCATGCCTAACCTAAAATCTATCATAAATTCACATATTTTCAAAATTTTAAACAACAAAAATCAATTAAAAACCAACCAATGTAACTGCGTAGATGAAACATTTTTCCCTTTGAACAACCAATGTTTATCTAACAATATTGTCTACCAAGCAACCGTAACTTCCAGTAATCATGATCGTAATAAAAAAGTATATTTTGTATATATTAGTTTGCATATTTAGTTCAAAATGTGTATACATTAGTTATACACAATTTAAACTAAATATGCAAACCTTCTCAAATCATTTGCATCATTTAAATATAGAAATGATACAGAACTATCTAAGGAAATAAGGAGCTTAAAAGATCAAAACATAAAACCTATTATAGAATGGAAAATTGTCAAACGTTGTAAACCTTACAACTTAGCAAAAAAATATGCCACCTTTGCCCCTAAGAAAAATATGTAATTTTATCACATAATGGAAGAAACCAACTGAACAAAAAAAAGCGAAATCGTATCTTAATGTTGACAAAAAATTCTTATAATCTTTTTTTGACGCAGGGGACTAGTAAACTATAATGGCTTTTTCATCATATATATATATATATATATATATATATATATATATATATATATATATATAAATATATATATATATATATATATATATATATATATATATATATATATATATATATGTATATATATATATATATATATGTATATATATATATATATATATATATATATATATATATATATATATATATATATATATATATATATATATATATATATATATATATATATATTTATATATTTATTTTATTATTATTTCAAAAACATCAATACGATTTTCTTTTAAAACTAAATTTATTTTTTAAAAGAAATTTTTGGTAGATTGTTGTGACCAGCGTCTTTAGCTTAAAATTTTTTTGTTTGTTTTTTAAATGTTATTTTTAAAAACGTCAGTTCTATTTTATGTCAATTGGATGGTTTCGTCTTTTTCTGAAGCTAGAAACGGTGTCCGAAATTTTGTTGATACATATTGTCCCTCATCTATATTGATACCATTTTGTTGATGAGGCACTGGTGGTACTGTATTTGAAGTGGCTCATGAAATTTCCTATCAAACTTTTTAGCATTGATATTTAGAGTCGTGCAACTGTCGCAGTTAATTTGTTGTGTATAATGTCTCATGTGTGTGGCTAATGCAGATGGTTCTGTTTTATTTCCTATTGTACTGTTTTTGTGTTGTTGCATGTTTGCGTGTTTGCGTTTTTTTATATGCATTTTTGTTTCACCTATATACTTTCTGCTGCAATGACATTTTATAAGGTAGATTCCTGGGTGGCTGTTCATTTGTAGTTTGGATTTATTTCTTGATTTTAATTTTGTCTCTAGGTTCAAGTTTGATTTGAAGACCGTTTTATATCCTGCCTTCCTGAACACGCAATTCGGGAGACGATTTCGGTAATAAAGGTAATGAAATCGTTGGATACGTACTGGTGATGTTGTCAATGTTTTTAGTGGTAAATAGAGATTATTTGCACTTTCATTTTTTTTCTTTTATGATTTTTATGAGATTGGACTGTTTGTAGCTATTTTCAACAAACCCTGAAGGAATTTCAGTTCATTTTCTATATGACTGCCTGCATACATTAAATGCTCTATATACGAAACCCTTCAATATTCCATTTAAAATTTGTTGGTCATCGTTTGATGTTGCCTTAACTTGAATGTTAGTAATTGCACATTTTCAATTTAGATGAGGGACAATATGTCAACAAAATTTAGGACACCATTTTTAGCGCACTTACTTCAGAAAAAGATGATACCATCCGATTGACATAAAATAGAACTGCCATTTTTAATAATAATATCTAAACAAAAACAAACAAAAAACTATTTAGCTGAAGACGCTGGTCAAAATAATCCTGCGAAAATTGCTTTTATAAAATAATAAAATAAATTGTTTATAAAATATTAACTTATATACTCTCTAACTTACATAAATAATGTCTACATTCAAATATATATATAAATATATATATATATATATATATATATATATATATATATATATATATATATATATATATATATATATATATATATATAAATATATATATACATATATACATATATACATATACATATATATATATATATATATATATATATATATATATATATATATATATATATATATATATATATATATATATATATATATATATATATATATATATATATATATATATATATATATATATATATATATATATATATATATATATATATATATAAATATATATATATAACACAAACAGTTCAAAAATAAAGATGTAAACTCTAGAAATCACAATATTATGTACCATAATTAACATAACATATTCAAAGGTAAACATACTGGGGTTTACTTGTTCACGCGTATAAAATGCATATGAAAACTTAATATGCCCTCCATAGTACATCAAAGGATATAATATAACATATGTTCCTCCAATAAAAGAACCAGTTGTATATTGCCAAATAAAACCTAAAGTTAAAAGTAAATGATCCAATAAGTACAATAACAAATACATCAATTTATTCTAAATAAAATCTAACAATCTTTTTTAAACAAAAATGTGTAATTGAATACTACCTAAATAATTTTTTATTTGTTTGTATTTTCAATTTTTATTTAAAGTTTTAATATTGTACTTTGTGAGAAATAATCAACTTGAAAAATCTAAAAAATTGTATACTGCTTCCTCCTAGGGAGTATTATACTACTTCCTCCTAGAGGCCTCTGACCTAGTTACCACAGGACAGTATACATAAAAGTAAATTAAACAATAAGAAATAAATGTAAACAATTTAAAACAATAAATTATATATATATATAATTTAGTAGAAACTCACTGTGTTTCATCAATAAAGACTCATAAGAGATGAGTCTTTATTGATGATCAAATTAATAAAACTTTAATTTATACCAATAAATAAATTACAGGAAGTTGCATGCTTTAACTTCTGTAATTTTTCACACATTTGCGGAATATGCTGACACTATTATAAAAAGAACTCTTTGGAAATGATTTTTTACTTATGCTTTTTTAAAAAATATTATTCAAAAAAGGGATTGAATGTAATTATTATTTGAACTAACTTATTTTTATAGTTTTTTAGGAGAAACCTATTTTTGTGCCTGCATTTAGAAAACAATTCCTATCTTTTATTTAATAAACATTCTTGGTTTGCATGTGTAATTATTTCAAATTTTTCTTGTAGACATAGTATGCATTTTTTGGAAATATTGTTTTATGCAGGTTCTGTTTTAAGTATGGACCGATTCAGTGTAAAATCATCAATATTTTTATCTTTTAATTCCCATATTCATTTCGACAGCATGGTGTCTTTTACATACTTTTTATTTTTAAAAGATTGCTTATGATTGGCTAAAAGTATATATCAATAACTCGCCATTATGTCAATAAAATTATACTTATTATTATCATTAATACTATTGCAAAAACGATTTATGGAAAGTAAGTAACATGTTGTTGTTGTTGTTGTGTCATAGTTCATGCTAAGGTTTTAAAACTTCATGGTTTCTAATGAAAATATATAAAAAGTACAAAATTATCAATTTGAATTTCTGTTCAAATAAAAACTTGTCAAATGTTGAAGATAAAACTGGAAATATATCACTTGACTAAAGTAAAAATTGTAACAGCAATATAGAATATAGAATATAGAATACAGCAACATACAATATAGAATCAGCATGTATATCAATCAAAACATTTTATATACAATTAATTTATACAAAAGGTACACATGCATTTTTGTATTTTAATTATTTGCAACATTTAAAAAAAAAAAAATTATTTCCTTTATTGATATAAAAATCCCTTACACTTTCAGGTTTATTAGATTTTAATGCATGAAAAAAATCAAAATAAAAAAATATTTTGTTTTTAATAAAATATTTAATAAAAATTTAATAAAACAAAGACCTATTACCTAAAGGTTCTTTATAGTTATTTAAACTTCCATAAATAAAACTAGTGAAAATGGTGACTTGTTGTTGAAATTTCTTAACAACCATTACTTTTTCCATATCAAAACCTAAAATCCATAAATATGAGGACATAAAAATTAGGTGTAACATAAGAACAGTAAAACCTTCTAAAAGAAACATATCACACAAAAGAATTTTACTAGAGAAGGTAAAAACTTTACATTTTTATTTTTCTTTTATCAGATTTTTGAGCATATTTTTTATATATTAGCAGTATTATTCACGTTCTCTGTTATGTCAACAATAGATATTTGCTGTTTTGTTAACTATATTTAATTATAGTAGTAAATGCTAGTTACGTGGGTTTGAACTATCCTAGACAATATTACTTAATGTTCTCAAATTAAAGTAAAGCAGATTGACATATTTTATAAACATTTTTTTATTTTCCTTTTGAAATTAAAGGCTTAAAGAACACATCAAATAATAGCTTGGATAAACACCTAAAACACCAAGCATATAACACACAACATATAAAATGTATAACTGGAAGTCACACAGGATTATAAAAATTTAAATACTTTTTTTGACATCAAAAATAAAAGAAATTTTTAGAATTAAAATTTAATAATTTTTTGAAAAATTCTTTGAAGCTTAAATATTTTGTACATGCACGTGCAATACCAAAAAGTTTTACTATCAGAGTCAGAGTGGCAATTTTGTTTAACCATTCTGACTCTGACTCTACTAAAAATGTTGCAACTCCTACTCCATGAATTCAACTCCACAGCCATGGTTAAAACTAAAATAAGGCAAAACATCTAGGAACCATATACTAAAACAAAAACTAAAGTTTTAGCCAAGCCAAAATAATTTATTTAAGAAATGTGAACTAAAATATTGTTGATTATTGAGAAATTCAATTGAATACATGAGTTATTCAACATTAAGTTTTAATTAAATGACCTAAATGTCTAAATTTGCTAATTGTGTAAAAAAAAAAAAAAAAAAAATTTTAATTTAAATATTTTAGAAATTTATTTATTTTCTGATAGCATGTGCAAGAAAATGAATTCTTAAAAATTGTTAGAATTATCAAACAATTTTTGAATTTTTAAATATTACAAACATTTACTTAAAAAAAATGTCGTCTTTTTAAGTTTTTTCTGCAAATTCTGAACTCTAATCTTCCTCAAACTAAATTTAGCAAACATCATAGTTGCAAAAGTTGTCATAGTAATTAGGAATTTTTCTTCAGTCCATATATAATTAGCAATCAAAAATACTTTCTCTATGGAAGCATTTATACCTGGCAAACATAATATCGCTTCCATCAATTTTAATGAAAATTAGAAAGAATATGATTGTCACATTCAACAGACTGTTAGTTTCAATAAGAAAACATTTCAGTTATCCAATATAAATTATTTCATTGAATTTTGTCAAAAAATTAGTTGAACTCACTTTGGTTCTTTTTGTGTTTCAAAATCAAATTCTTTCCTGCCCAAGTGAGTTTTACTAATTTTTTTCAAAAAGGTTTTAATTGTAACAATTTTAGTCCATACATTGAACGATTAAGTAAAGGCTATTGAAAAACTTCAAAAAAGTGAAGTGTCCATTTATCTATATATTCTAGACGGACACAGTAAAAAATATCTATCTTTTTAAGAAATTGATTTTTAAAATGATGATTACTTTTTTTAGTAATTTGCAAATGTTGTCTTGCCATGTAAAGCTGAAAAAATTTGCCCTTTCAAGTTTTTTTTATCTAAAACTACTGCAACTACTAAACTTTTTTTATCTCTTTCATCTTTAATCATTCTTCGTTCTAAATTTTTTTATCTTGTAATAAAAAACATTGATTTTTATTGATAGTCTCAAATACCATATTCAGATTTCTATGCTCAAAAAGTTAATTGCTAATATAACTTTTTTAAACTATTTTTCTCTACTTTTTTCTCTATTTTTTTCTATATTTTAAACAAGAAAAAAAGAGTGTTAAAAAAACATTTTAAAAAACCGGAGAAAAAAAAGTAAAAGTAAATGTGAGGAATAATTACTTTCATTTGAGTAAAATTCGAATGTTTGTTGTTGAAAAAGAATCAATTTTTTGTTGTTGAGAAAGAATTGAATGTTTGTTGTTGAGAAAGAATCAAATTTTTGTTATTGAGAAAGAATCGAATCTTTGTTGAGTTTTTTACAGTTTTGTTTAATGATTAACTTTTTGTAAAACAAATATATTTTAAACTGCCGAAATTCATTTTGGTACTGTCAGAAGAAACTTTTAGTACTAATGTATTTAAAGAAAACTTTTGATAAAATATTTGTACTATACTTAAATATCCATTTACAAAAATCATTATTACAAACCGAATTTCCTCTCAATTCAATCTCAAGACAAAAAAACTTTAAAAAAAAAAATTTATTGCCCTTGTAATTTGAGTATCAGAAGTAAATAACAAGTATGATACTTTTAAATAAAGCATTTTCGAAGTTGATTTCACAAAACTTATGGAACATGTCTGCATTATTGCTTCATATTTTGCACTCACACAAGTGAATCTTTGATTCTAAAATTTCCTTATTAGTTTTGATGTATATTTAACACTTAAAAATCAATAGCGGCGTTTGATTGTGTAGAACGCCTTAGAATTGCTTTTCTTAAACTGCTATTACTGTTTTCATTTTGATCAAAGCTCTGACCCTTTATCAATTTTGTTATATTGTTCATGACAAAGAAGAATGCAATGCCAATTAGTGTTTGATAGATTTTACAATGATCTTCAATTGAAAAACTTTTATGACTACTGCCATTTTATATCATCTATGGCCTGCATTATAAAAGGAATAAATTTTTTCTTAAATAATCTCACCATTAATAAACAAGTGAAACATTTAAAAATGATTTTAATGTTATTCTTTAAAACCAGGGCTGTGGAGTATGAACTGGAGTTGCAATATTTTGAGCAGAGTCAGAGTTGCTTTACAAAATCGCGACTCTGACTCCAATAAAAAACTTTTTAGTATTGCACGTGCATGTATAAAATATCTAATCTTCAAAGAATTTTGCACGGATTTGGCAAATAACAATTTTTTAAAAAAGAAATCAAAGAATTTTTCAAAAATTTTTCTTTGGGGTCAGAGTAATACTCAGCAAATTTCAATGATTGGAGTCGGAGTCGGAGTTAATACTTTTTTTTAACACCCCACCACCACTGCTTAAAACACTACTGTTTTTTTGTACTTTTTTTAACATTTGTTACATTTTTGCATTGCTTTTTTATCGTATTATTAATTAATTATATTGTCTCTATAATACTTTTCAACTCATCAGTACCATACTTATTGATATATGGTAACTGAGGATCACTATGTAATAGCTGAAACATGCATTTTAAATTTACTAATTAAACTATATATCATACATTAATTCATTAATTCATTTATTTAAACAGTTTAATCATTTACTAAACAATTGTATTATTTGCTAAATCTTATTTTAATCTTTAGCTATATATAAAATGTCAACAAAAATGTATGGGAACGTTTGAGAAGAAGCTCAGCAGATTCAAACATTAAAGATGTGGATGATTTTAGTTGTACATATCTCAAAAACATAAAGTATGATTAGTCACTATGTCTTTTCTGTAAGAGCTTGAGGCGAGCAGCAGCTTGTGAATTTAACTCATGCAAAACTCAGTTAAATAATGAAAACAACCATCACAATACTTTCAATACTTTATATTAATGAGTGGCAACCCTCTCATTAAGCTCTTTAGATCTTTTTTAATTATTTTATACTACTGACCTTATTTGGAAACTGTGTATACAATCAATTGCAAAGTAAATTCTAATGTTCTCATCATTGTGTTTGTTATTATCCTACTCCTGATTTTATTTTCTACAAATCTCTTATTCATCACTTTATGAAAAAGTCCTAATATATTAAGGCTAGTGTGTATAATGATGCTTTTACTCTTCAAGATAAGGTTCTTAAAACGTATTGTAAAAGTAATAAGATGTGCTCTGGCTGCCAAGCTTGAGACACTCTTCCAACCTTGTAAGGTTGCATTTCTTTCTTATTCTAACAAATACTGTGATTTTCACTGCTCAATAGACCCATCATCCTAAGTTTCATCAATTAAAAACTTATTAAAGCCTGACTCGTCATTTTTCTATATCTGTTCTTGCATGCTCAAAAAAACTTTAATTATCTAGTTCTTTTCCCTTTACTTTTTTTGTAACTCATTTATACAAAAAATAAAAATTGATAAAAATTCATTACAACAAGATTAAAATTACGTGTTATATAGTGCATATAGGTCCAAAAAATGGATACTGATAGTATGTTTCTAAATAAGTATAAAAGCAATGTAAATAATAAACAAATATAGTTAATGAAATACACATTCAATATTTTATTCATTCATTTACTTTATAGATGCAGTGTTTTTAAAAACTGTCACACTGTCTGAAACAATAAACATAACATGATTTTCTTTAATAAACCACTTGTCAAGACATTTCATTAAAAATTCAGCAAGCATTTCAGCTGTGCGCAAATTTTGGGGTTCTGTCAAACTTAGATTTGTTTGGGTTAATCAAGTTTAGGCATGTTGGGTTTAATTGATGATAATGTCATAAAAACAGGCAGATATTTTAAAAATAAATACACAAAAATTATTGGAACAATAATAAAATTATATGTTTTAAAGGACATATATGTCCAAAACAAGGGCGCTGAAAGTGTGCCACAAAATAAGTATAAAAACAATCTACATATAAACAAATATAGGTAATAATATATACACTTAAGATTCTATTCATTCATTTACTTTGAAAAAGTTTTTTGGTATTGAAGGATTTTATTTTTAAACATACATATGTTTTTTTCTGTTTACAGCTTCTAATGTCACATTGCTCGAGATATTACCACCTCGTTTAGAAAAACATTATTTGCAACCATCAAGTTGACATTAAGAATGAATGCGGATATATATTATTTTGTAAACCAAGTTATGCAAGGTTTTGAAACATACAACCAAATCATGTTTTATACGCCTGAGTTCAAGAGAATCAAAACCAAGCACCTTTAAACAACAATAAT